TTAGGGCCAACTCAAGATATTTCTACTTAAAGCTTTTATTATGACGCAAGTGTGATAGCGTTCTACCTATATGACCCGGTAGCACTCTGTACTCATTTCTTTTTGAACATTTATCTCACTCTACCGGAGGAGATAGACAAATAAACAGTACATGGGTTCTTGGGGAAAAGGGAGTTTAGGAAGGATTTTTGCTGCCTGGGCAATTGGCATAGTGCCCTTATACACTCTAAGAAGCTTATTAAACATCTGTTGAATAAATAAATTCACTAACAAAGAACTCAAAGTATTAGAGTTGATGTTTTCTTCTTCTTTCTACTTGGCTATTAACAGGTGTAAGAAAAGGAACATTTTCATGCTCATGTATGCCTGTAACCTACAATAAGTACTTAAAGTTAAAGCATGTCTAGTATTTTTCTTATTCCAGTTAATACAACCTCCTGTGAGGCTGGTATTAGCCTCATTCCCTATTTCATGCTGAGGTGAAAAGTGATTTCCTCAAGTGGGAATCAGAAGACCTGGGTTAGTGTTCTCACCCAAGATCCAGGGTCCTTTGCATCTTGATTTTCCATCAAAAGAATAAAAGCATAAATCTGCTTTTATTGTTTTTTAAAAATTCATTCATTCATTCATTCATTCATTCATTCATTTTTGAGACAGAGTCTTGCTCTGTTGCCCAGGCTGGAGTACAGTGGCACAATCTTGACTCACTGCAACCTCCGCCTCCCAGGCCGAAATGATTCTCCTGCCTCAGCCTCCCAAGTAGCTGGGATTACAGGCAATGTACCACCACGCCTGGCTAATTTTTGTATTTTTAGTACAGACTGGGTTTAGTAGAGACTGGGCTGGTCTTGCACTCGTGACCTCAAGTAATCCACCCACCTCAGCCTCCCAAAGTGCTGGGATTATAGGCATGAGCCACTGCATTCAGCCAGTCTACTTTTATCCTGTATAACTGTCTTGCATCCATTCCTGTCCTAATGGCTATTTCATTGGCCAGAGTTCTTTTTCAGATGCCGGGAGACCTGATGGCATGGAAGAGATGTGGTGGTAAAAAGAAAAAATATGGGGAAAACTTACTCAGAAATCCTATTCCAAAAACTTGGCTACTTCAGTGGCTGCTTCTAGAGAGCAAGGATTTGGTGTCAAGGGTTGAAGAAGCAGTCGTTTGTAAACTTATGTCAACCACTTGAGTGGAAATGGATTTGTTAAACTGGAAAAGTCGTTAACCCTTTAGCATAGTATTTTGTGCTTTTGTTCAAAACATGGTATGTGAGTGGAGTTATCCCCCAAAAGGGTAGGACCCAGCACATAATGAGTGTCAACTATGGGCTAGGAACTGAATTTGTCTTCCTCAAATTCTATAAAGTATTAATAGTTATTTTGGCTACATGAGAAAAATTATTGTTGAGCAAGTGTCTTAGTCCATTCAGATTGCGTAACAAAATACTATATACCAGGCGGCTTATACACAACAAAAATTTATTTCTTACAGTTCTGTGGAGGCTTGGAAGTTCAAGATCAAGGCACTGGCAGATTCTTTGTCTGGTGAGGGTCTGCTTCCTCATAGACAGCTATCTTTTCACTCTAGCCTCACATGGTAGAAAGGCCAATGAGTCTCTGTTGGGCCCCTTTTCTGAGGCCACCGATCCCATTCATGAAGGCTTCACCCATGTGACCTCATCACCTCCCAATGGTCCCGTCTCCAAATACAATCACCTTGGAGATTAGGTTTCATCATATGAATTTTGGGGGGATGCAAACATTCAGATCACAGCGGTAAGTCATCCAGATTGCACAGTTAGTAAGTGGCGGAGCTAGATTCAAAACCAGGGCTGTGTGGTTCCAGGGTGCTTCTCAACGTGTGGCAGATGCTGGATTCTGGAGTAGTACTGCCTGTGTTCACACTTGCTTTATGACTTTACTAGGATGTGAGACTTGGGGAAGCCACTAATCTCTCCAGGCCTTAGTTCTGTCATCTAGTAAATGTGAATAATAATCCCTCTTCAGAGTTATAGTGAGGGTTAAATAAGGTAGTATCTATAAAGTATATTCTTTTTTTTTTTTTTTTTTAATTTCTTGAGGCAGAGTCTCACTCTTGCACAGGCTGGAATGCAGTGGCATCATCTCGGCTCACTGCAGCCTCTGCCTCCCAGGTTCAAGCAATTCTCCCGTCTTAGCCTCCCGAGTATCTGGGATTATAGGCACACACCATCATGCCCGGCTAATTTTGTACTTTTAGTACCGTATTGTTAACCAGGCTTATCTCAAATGCCTGATCTCAGGTGATCCACCCGCCTCGGCCTCCCAAAGTGCTGCGATTACAGGCGTGAGCCACCATGCCCAGCCTATAAAGAATATTCTTACACATAGTAAGTGTGATATAAATTTAATTGTCCTCATCATTATCACCACCACCACCATCATTACCTTTGGTCTCTTTCTTTGCCAATAATGCAAATTATTCTGGGCTATGAGATCAGTGGGTACTCAGAGTTTTGCTCTGGAAGACTTTAGCATTCTTTGAAATTTTGCAATTGGTCAAAGGTATTGGATATGTAAACTAAAAAGTATCTGAGTCAGGTCTCAATCAATTTAGAAGCTTATTTTTCCAAGGTTAAAGACATGCCCAGAAGAAAAAAACATGGAATCACAGTAACAGTCTGTAGCTGGTACTTTTCTCCAAAGATGATTTTGAGGGCTTCCATATTTAAAAGGGAAATGCAGTCTGGAGGGAAAAGAGGGAGAGTCTGGTCACTTTACTGAATCTACATGTTGCCAGGGAAAAGAAGCTGGTAGGGGAATAGACAATTAGGTATTTGTCTTGTGCTCAGTAAATTGGCACTTTACATAAGATAAGGTGAACATAGAGTAGCTACCTGTGGAGATATTTAACTATTAGCTATCTGCTTAGGAACAGAAGGAAAGGCAGTTTCTTGCATGATTCAACTTTTGGCTTTTTCTTTTTCTTTTTTTTCCATTTGACATAGTAAATTGGGGGCTGGAGTTTTTACTTTCCTTTCACAGATATATGACTCAGGATACATTCCAGGAGGGACTGAAAGTATAGTGGAGTAGCTCCAAAGTAGACCACAACCATATAATGGACAAATAGGTCAGCTAGTTAGTTGGGAGTGTTGCCATAGAAATTGTGCTATAAATAGGGTTAATGTTTTCAGGGGATGATAGTAACTTAACTAGCCATATTTAGATGAGCTACCTAGAAGTTGCCACAAATATGTTTGAACTGACTTGATACAATTTATAATAATATTAGAATTATACATCATAGATTAAATTTTTTTTTTGAGTTCTTATTAAATGTCCGGAAGCATGTAAGCACTTTGTTATCTTATTTAATCTTCACAACAACCTTATGTATTGGAGATTTTTATTATATTCATTTTATGAATGAGGCAACTAAGGCTCTCAAATGTCAAGTATGATCAGGGTTGTCACACAGGCAAGGGACAAATTGGCATTCAAATCCAAATCAGGCTGCCTCTAAAGTCCGTGCTTTTTCTTAACTACTGTCATGTATTCCTTCCTAAAACCCACATACTGGGACTTCTTAGCCACATATTCCAAGTGCCCGATTTTGTGGATGACCTCAAGACCCAGTCTTCGTTCAGATGTAGACCCAATCACCCTGAGGCAGATTCTCCAAAGCAGAAGAGGCGCAAGAGCATTCTCAGGTGGAGAGATGCCCACAAGAGTTAAACTCCAGCTCTGATCACATTTTTTCCCACATTTTCTTCTTAGTTGAAATCAGAAAGACGACCAGCTTATACTTTGCAAACAACTGGCCTTGCAAGGGAGCCAGGCCTGACTCTTCCTAGTGCAGCTTCCTTATTATTCTCTAATAAGAAATAGATTTAATAATAGCAACTGGAATTTATTTAGAGTTTGTTCCAAGAACAAGTTAAAGTTTCCGCTTTGCCTGGAACTAATATTATTTGAACTGAAAGCTACAATGTCCTGGACTAAGACTGTCTCAGCAGCATCTTTATGTAAACTCCTTCATTTTAATTTTTTAAAACATTTTTTGTAGTTTTTCAGCATCCTTTTAAGACTTTGAATATCTGGTAAACATGGCCAAAAGGATTCTTCACACTGATTTAACTTGAAATTATGGATGAGAGGAGAAAACTTACTCTTAAGAATTTAATTAGCTTTCCTGGCACTGAATTTCTGAGAGAGAGAGAGTTATCAACCATCCTTTTTTCAAGTTAAAACTTGCAACACAAGATTTGGAGAAGGATTTTCTTAATATTTCCTGATTCCAGAAACACTCTGGGAGATTTAATTTTTTTTTAGGTTAATAGAGCAAGATAAAGTATTTTGTTTTTTTCAGGACTAGTAGTCAGTCATAACACATATTGGTCAATGAGAAAATTATGGCTGGATTTCTTATCTAACAGCTGTGTCTGTGTGTGAGGGAAGTGGGTGCAGGGAGAAAGGAAGGCTTAGTTCCCATTCTTACAAAAACAATGACTTTTCTACTATGAGAAAGTTCACAGATGGTTAGTTTTTCCAGTAAAACTAATAAGTAACATAAGCAGAAATAGTGTAGAGTCTTCAAAAACAGAACAGTTTAAATCAGGAGGGGTTGCTGGACTCAGCTAGGTGTATCTGGAGCCTGTGTACTAATTCTGATTTAGACACATTATTTTTCTTTAATCCTTTCTTTCCTCCTCCTCCTCCTCTTTTTCCTTTGCTACTGGTTATTGGTGTTTACCATTTGCCAGACATTTTACCAAGCACTTTGCATATAATCTCTCACTGAATTTTCACACAGTCTATGAGAGAAGTATAAGCATCATCTCCAACTGACAAACAAGGAAGTCAAGGCTCATGAAGGTTAAGTAACTTGCCCCAAATCAAGCAGAGGGAAAAGGTAGAGCCAGAACTCAACCCTACATCTCTCTGACTCTAGACCTTGACCTCTCAACCACCACATAATACTGCTTCCTCACTGAACCTTTTCTGTTCTTTGTTCTCAGGGACAGGATGAGAACTTCAGTCAATGTTGTGGGTGACTCTTTTGGAGCTGGGATAGTCTATCACCTCTCCAGGTCTGAGCTGGATACCATTGACTCCCAGCATCGAGTGCATGAAGATATTGAAATGACCAAGACTCAATCCATTTATGATGACATGAAGAACCATAGGGAAAGCAACTCTAATCAATGTGTCTATGCTGCACACAACTCTGTCATAGTAGATGAGTGCAAGGTACATTTCCCATTCATGGATATCGAGACCTGTATATAGTAGTGCATGCTCGATTTCTTAAGAAAAAAAAAAAAAACCATAAAGCCCTGCATGTATTATTGTCACATTTATTTTCCTAAAGAATCATGTAACCCAAGCTTCTGTGAGTCCCAGATCATCTAATTCTGTGTCTAACGTGGCAGGAAATCAACAAGTCTGACAGAGAAAGAGTCAATCAGTTGCTTATTTTGTCCATGTGACATGAAACAACCATTGGATTCCCCCATCTACCCCACTTGACTAATTTGACCAGTTATCTTGAATATTTTGCCCACGAATTTGTGGTTACTAGAGCTTTTCTGACTTTCAAATATTTGATTCCTCAATTGAAACATCAAGAGAAATCCCCAGCTGATGTACCTAGCACAAGTATTGTCCTTGCTATATATCACATATTGGTCAAAAATGTGCCCACATAACTTTACACAACTATCTTTTTCTTAATTATTTTTGTGGGAAAGGGGAATTTTGACCTGAGGGTACCTTGCTCCAAAAGTGGGTAAACAATTTCAAGTAAAGAACAGGTATCCTTCAGGACAATTATCCAGAAATGTCTTTTTAAAAACACTACATCTCAGACACTGCCTGGCTGCGCCATCTTTCTGCAGCATGGATGTTCTGGGCTCTCCTCCAAGCTGTTGGGTGCTAATTCTTCAAGCTTGATGGGCTCTGTCTAGCCTTCATTGTAACTAATTTGACATTGTCAAAGTCAGAGTGTCATGACCAGAGTAAAGCAAACTTGGAGAAACCCTGGCAGGTGAGCAGAATCAACTCTGGGGGTTGGTTTCTAAAATGATTCCACACAGCAGCTGAGGACAAGCTGAATCCAGCCAGAGATCTCTGGTACCTTTTTGACTTCTGTTGACAAGGTCACATTTAATCACTAATTTCTTCCTTTATTACTTCTGGGTCATTACAAATACATACTATGGCTCTTGCTGGGCAACTAAGGATGTCACAGAAACAATTCTCTTTACTGGATTGTAACATAGGTCCAGAATTCTCGTGGACTAGCACAGGCTTTTGCTTGTCCTCTCTATGTAAGATACATACATGGGTGAACAAGGACTCTGAAACAAATTAGGGAGGGAAACCATCCATCAAGAGGCAATTGCACAAGTTTGTTAATTGACTCAGTGAAAATGATTCAAATTATTAGAAATTCAGATGTACCTAAAGGACATGATGCATTCTCATGGAAAGCTGGTGTTTCCCACATCTGAGTGAATGTGCTGGATTATTCCCCATCAAAATGTTAGTTTGAATCAACAAGGGTCAATAATCTTGTGAATGGCTTTATGTTCTATTATATTTAAGTACTTGTTGTGTGCCTTGTAAGGTTTAGTTGAGTGTCCCTGTCTCATTCCTGTGAGATCCTATATTTTGATTATTCATCAAGTATTTATTAAATGCCTATTATCTATAAAGCCATAAATTAGGCACTGGAGGACAGCAAGAAGAATGTACAATGTTGATAAGACTTGAACTCAAATTATTGCCATATGAGGAAAAGTTATGTAAAACAAAACCTCACAATTTTTTAAAAATTTCATAATTATATTTGAGAAGAATCCTAGTGGTTAATTGCGTATGGCCCTTTTGGGGTTTCTCAAGAGGCTTCTTAATATTTTGTAGGACACTTTTTGAAAAAGAAGGTGTGTGCATGTGGAGGTATCTTTAGATTTCAGACTTCCTGGATTTGTTTTTGAAGGACATCAAGCACATGAGGATAAATTTGCTTCTTTTTGTTTGTTTGTTTTTGAGACGGAGTTTCACTCTTGTTGCCCAGGCTGAAGTGCAACGGCATGCTCTCTGCTCACTGCAACCTCTGCCTCCCAGGTTCAAGCCATTCTTCTGCCTCCGCCTCTTGAGTAGCTGGGATTTTTTTTTTTTTTTTTTTTTTTGTATTTTCAGTAGAGACAGGGTTTCTCTGGTCAATAACTCCTTATCTCGGGTGATCCACCCGCCTCGGCCTCACGAGCTGCTGAGATTACAGGCATGAGCCACTGTGCCCGGCCAATTTGCTTCATTTTTAAAAGCAGACTATTTCAAGCCCTATAAGGAAATGTGAATTATCCATGTCAGTAGGAAGTAAGCTAATTAGCAGTAAGGCTTTGTCCCCAGTTATACTACTGTGACCCAGCACCTAAAATAGTGTCTGGCATGTTGTAGGGGTGTCAATAAATATTTATTGAATGTATCCTTTTAGCATCTTTAGTCCTTGCTGTATTTCAGATAATGTTTTTGCTGGACATTCCATAGAGATAGTGGATCAGTCTCGATATAAATGGTCAGTCAGCCAACCATCTGCAAACTCATTGGTTAATTAGCCTTTAGGGGACCAGTGGTCAAGCTGAGCAGGTCTTGAAGATGATGAAAATACCTCTATTGGTTTATCAACTGTTTCAGCTGTTTACATTTTTAATTAAATGGTTGGGTTCAGCTCAGTGAAGGCTATTTTATCCTCAGCCTTTGCTAGGTAAAGCAAGTTGATTTTTCTCACGCTAAATCAGTTAACTGTGTTGACGCTGATGTGGGAAGGAGGCAGCCAGAGCCATGGAGATACATTTACACCTTTCTGAGGATATCTGGGTCACATTTATTTATTCCTTTGAGCTTCCTTATGGTTAATTCTGTCTCGCTATTTCCCACTTTTTAAAAACTGAGATGGGAGATGTCAGCACTTGCTGCCAATGCCATCCTCTTTTTCTTTTCTATTACCCAAGTGGTTGGAGCAGAGAGGATTGGGGAATGGAGTCCTAGCTTTCTTTAGCCCAGCCAAGAAAGGAAATGCCAAAAAAAGCTGCTGTCCCAGATACTTTGAAACATAGGCCCCAGTATTTACAAACAAAAAAACCCAAAAAAACACTTCCCCCCAAGTGCTGTCTGGTCTTCCAAAGGCACCACACTGTGATTGATAATTTTGTACCACTATTGATGTGGTTCATCACCGAGAGCCAAATAGGCACATTCAAGACCATAGTGAACAGGCAACTTTCTCCAGGCAGACAGTCTGTCCCTGGCAGTCTTTCTTGACAGTTCACTGAAAGGGAAACAAATTTGCTGCAGCTCTGGTCAAAACTTTAACCATTTCAAGCATTGTTATGTCTTGTTGGTCTGTGTATTCAAACTCTTGCCTGGTAATAGTAGTTTGAAGTTACATAATAGTTTTCAAGTTTAATCAGAATAACTGCATGTGGAGCTGTCATTGCTAATTGCATGGTCTGTTTTTCTGAAAAAAAAAAAAAAAATTGAGGGGCTAATGGGGATTGGATGAATGGTTTTTGTTTTCCTTTGCTTGATTCGTTGACGGGCACTTGGTTTTCTGTTCCTAGCATGTTGTATGTGGTCATGATGCATGCATTTCACTTCCACTTGGGTAAGAAGAAAGTCAGATTTCTTTCAAACATTGCTGTGTTTGTCATGTCTTCATATTCTAATGCTTTCATAAATCCAGTCTCTCCATTATGTGGAATATCAGTCGTGGGTTTAAGTTTGCACATGACGTTGAGGACAGACAGAAGGTAAGCTAGGAAAACTACTTAGAAGTGGAGGGGAAAACCTCCTATTCTGCAAAAAGGTTCAGTTCACTTTGAGCCAGGGAAGCATAATATAGATGGTCTGGTAATAATATAGCATAATATAGATGGTAATTATATCTGATTATTAAATGTCTGCATTTAAGTAATTTAGATAAACATTGTCACCAATCTCAGACTTTTAATTCTCCCTACTTTTCTTTTTAATCTTTAAAGCTGGGATAGCTTATTTGACACAGCTGAAACATCATGATTTCTGATATAAAAATTAGACATGTATGCCATCTACCTGGTGTCATTGCAACTGAATCTTTCACATGCATGAGTAGAACTAGATACCTAGTTCTGGATTTCTTCCTCTGTGGTTGTATGGAGTAGCACGTGGGCACTATATTTTAAGGACTGTGTTATTGTGTGATGGATCTTTGGGTAGTTAGACACCCTGCAACACTAAAAACATAGTAGAAGTTATTCCCCAAATTGCAAAGCAGCTTTAATACACTGATACTCCCAAGGCAGATATGGATTTTTAAAATTCGCAGATCACTGTTGAAACCCAAGACAGGCTCAAATTCAATTTGGAAGGAACTCCATTTAAAACTAATATTTCAGTCATGTCGTATAATCTTGGATTTGGTGCTTCTCCACATAACCCACAGGGCTTTTTTCTGGTTCATGGCCTGTAAGCTGGATGTTGATGATAATTATTTTCAGGTAACTCTGGCAGCCAATGGAAAGTCAGCCGACTGCAGTGTTGAGGAAGAACCTTGGAAACGTGAGAAATAAGGATATGAGTCTCAGCAAATTCTTGAATAAACTCCCCAGCGTATCCTATGGTAAATGATGATTTAAACAAGCTTTCTTTAAAAAGGAAAAAAATGAAAAAAATGCATATATGTCTATGTTTACTTAATCTGTTAGCCGAGGCTTAGAGGAGCTCTTGTGAGTCAGTGATGACAGGCACGGTGCTGTGTCTTTGCCAAATAATGCTTTATAACCGTCTAATTTTCTCACTTGTATTATTATTTGAATGGATGCTGCTGGAGGAATCAGTTTGAATTGAAGACATGTTCTTGCCAGCTTCACTTTTCTCCCTGGATGCTCTTTTCCCAGGGGACATGAGTAAAGCAGTGTGGTATACTCCAGGGACTTGGGATAATGAGCAAACACACAGTGTGTTATTCCTTAAAGTGTTCTCCATGTCTCGCCTTGTTATGCACAAGAGATTCTATTAAAAGCCTCTAGAAGTAACTCCCCTTAAAATGTCTAGTAGAGTTTGCACACGGGCTGATTAAAAGCAAATACCTGTCTTAGGGAATTCTGACAATTTATTTTCCATATGCTCTTTAAGTAAAATGTTTCAAAGAGAGTTTTAGAGGGAGCCATGCTCTTAAAGGCAGTTGATTAAAGAACCTATTACGTCTCTGCCTTACCCTGTGTAATCTATGAGAACAATGGTTGAAATTTCAAACTATGCTTCATAATTCTTTCTAAATTTGATAATTGATTAGAAAGTATTTTATATATAACCACTGTACATATTGACAAAAGTAAGAGAGCACAGTCAACATAAAATTTAACCAGAGTTAAATATTCAAATTTATTTATGTTTGGTTTGCCTTCACCTGTTGTAGTAAAATCAAGTGAGATTATTTGGTATATGTTTTGCTTTGTTTAACCCAAAATATTATTTTTTGAGTTCCTAAAGACAAAGACATTTTTAATCTGTCAATTATTTCAGTCATCATGTCTTCATCCTAGAAAGCTTCGACATTTTACTGTCCTCACACATGGAAGACACTTGTGTTGGCTGTGCCTCTTTTAATGTCATCTCTTGATGAAACAAAAATACTGGTATTTATCTAACATGTAGAAAGCATTTTGTTATCTTCTATCAAAGCACATAAAACCAGTTATAGGACACAGTTGGAAGCAGAGCCAGTCTTTCTCCTCAATCTTCTCAGTAGAGAGGAACAGAAAACAAACATCTGTGCAAAACCCTATAAAAGTGACATTCCTATGGCAGAGTCCAGGCAGCCTTGAACCATGACGTGGCAACCAAGGATGGCTCTGTACAACTTCATGGATGGAATCTTGTTTAAGACTGTGAAGTGTTAAGGAATAAATAATATAATTGGTGTAGCACAGTGCCTTGCATGCAGTAGGCAGCCAACAAGTTCTTAATGATTGGTTATGCAAGCTAAAATTTTTAATGTCTCTACTATCCTTTTTTTATTGAATAATGCACAGTATTTTCCTAATGTTGCTGGGTCTGGGAGTAAGCTTGGGACTTTAATCATTGAGAAATAAAGCACATTTGACTCTAATAAGTATGTAGAACCTTGTTTATAGGTGAGAGTAGGCTGTATTATATGAAACCAGCAGAGGGATGCTGAGATAGTCATGGTTTATAGAACCCAAATTCTCTGAGATGAGGGTGCTTATGGACCTCAAATAGCCTTTCTTATCTACTCCTTGTGACTTCTCTCTTCTAAATCAGATACCTTTGAAACATACAAGAGACATGAGATTCCAGTTGTTTTTGTCTCCTAAACCCTAGTTATTTTTGGATACGGATCACTACTGAACAGTATTAGGCAACTTTTTATTTTTGTTTTTTTTTTTTTAGATGGAGTCTCGCTCTGTTGCCCAGGCTGGAGTGCAGTGGCACAATCTCAACTCACTGCACTGCACCCTCTGCCTCTGTAGTTCAAGCGATTCTCCTGTGTCAGCTTCCCAAGTAGCTGGGACTACAGGTGCATGCCACCACGCCTGGCTAATTTTTTGTGTTTTTAGTAGAGATGGGTTTCATCATGTTAGCCAGGATGGTCTCAATCTCCTGACCTCGTGATCCACCCGCCACGGCCTCCCAAAGTGCTGGGATTCCAGGCATGAGCCACCGCGCCTGGTCAGAAAATGCATTCTTTACAGCAAATGTTGTAGGTTAAAGAGACAGTTCTTGGGTTTAGCTGTGAAACTGTTTAGGATTTTCTTTAAGTGGTGTTCCCAAGAGCTTTTCTATGGTAAGTTGGAGGCTCTAGGCAAAGTGTTTAGGAGCTTGTTGTTTTTTGCTATGGAAGGCCAACTTTGGGATTTGTATATATGGGCATGTTTCTCAAAGGAGTGGTCACAGGATTGTCTTCTCAAAACTCTGCCTGAAACCTTTCTGGTGTGTTTTGTCTTCAACTTTTTCCTAGCTATCCTATTAGCCTGTAAATATATCAGTAGACAATGTGTTTGGAAGAAACAAGGTGTACAACTTCACAAAGCAAGTTTTTCTGGTTCGAGACTTACTGTTTGCAGGAAGTCTCATGAGAATATACTTAGAAAATCATACTTATCTGGAAATTCAATAAGTCATATTAAAAATAAACAATTTCTTGAACTCAGGACTAGCCTGAAAATCCAAAATGTATGTAGACATATGTCTATGTTCTCTGTTTTTTTTTTAAGCCTCATTTATTTCTCCCATGCCATGCCCATTTGGGATTTTCTTTGCCCAGCATATGTGCCATAAACAGAACAAATGGATCCAAGGTATACCTCTAATAACCTTTATCTGAATAGAATACATTTAACCTGTCAATTATATGTGTAGATTTATCCTAATTGGTTCAACATGTATATGAATGCTTGTAATAGTCTGTTACTGTTTGATAATGCATAAATGTTATATTTATATACAGTTACAGCAGGCCAGAAACATACACACACCTGCATCCTGTAAGGTCTGTAAATCAGGACTTTTGCAATGCCATTTTGTTATAGACTCATTCACTTTTTTTAGGAATCAGAATCATTTCAGGAGAAAACCAACTAAGTAGACTTTAATTCTTCTCTTTCTCATTCTTGTCCTTTGAGAAACCCAAGTGGAATCATCAGTTAATTACTTACTCAAGTTCAATCAATCAAATCCAATGGGTGAGAAGAATGGCTTATCTTTCAATGTAATGCTTTACCTTAGATCTTTGAGGGCATGCTTCCCATACAAAGAGCATCAGAAAATCAGGGCAATCATCTAGATCTCACAGATCTTCAACATAGGACTCTAGCTTATGACATCTGAACCACAGAGCTATCAGATTCAGTTTTTACTACCTATTGAGTGTGTAGAAACACAGCCTATGGTTTTGCTGCCTGCGGAAGTTACCATACCCTGTAAAAGACAAATATTTCTTTCTCCTCTTGAACCACTAGTCAGCCTGGATATTCATGAAAGCGGAAAGAAGGGGTGCCAAAATGCCTAGCTTCTGGATTTAGACTCATGGAATGTGAGAAAGGCTTAGGAAAAATTCAAGTCATGGGGAGATTCCTGCTAGGTGATGCCAGGAATCCCAATGACCTGTTGATTAGAGAGTCTCTTGTGCATGGAGAAATATGTCATTTGCAAATGTATCTAGTCAAGAAGCCCTTTTGGAATAAAGTGGTTGGGAAACTCATTTACTGGGTCCCCCAACGGAAACCCAATTCTGCCATGTTTTTGCAAATACTACACGTCCCTTTGCTCTCAATAGCAAAAGTTATCTTATAGTGTTTTACTTTTGTCAGAATCAAGGCTTCGGCCACCTGTGCAATATTTTCCCATGGAATGCAGCAATAAATCCAAGTAGGTATATCCGTGCTCAGAGAGAATTCTCCATAGTTCTGAAAAACAAGTCTCATCAGCTCTCACCTGGTTTGATGACTGAAAGTGCACAGCACCCTAGTGGAAGTGATTTTTCTGACCTCGCTGCTCTCTAACTCTTATGGCTATCTAGTTGTCTGAGCTGCTGGTTTGTTTTACTTATTCTCCAGCTGAACTCATTCCAAGCCAAGAAAAAGGACCAAATGAAATTTTCAGTTATTATCATACTTGTTCCTTGAAAAAGAATGCTAGAGTCTGGAGGTGTAAGAAGACTAAGTTAAACCAAACAGCCTGAAGGAATTCTGGAGTGAGAGTTTTGTAAGTCTAGTTGTCAAAGAAGATAAATGGTCTCAGTATCTGTAGTAATTTCTGGTTAAGCCTAGAAGGATCACTGAGTGCCAGCCCAGGCAGGTGGCACTAGAGGCAGATTGTTCTCCTAGTGTAGAGTGAGTTTCCAGTTGCTCATGAAACATGTGCTTATGATTTTCCCTAAAAGAAAACCAAATTTTCTACTCCTCCTCCTTCTTTTCTATCATTCCACTTATTGTTGCTGCTTTGCAAACAGACAGCTTAGTAAGCCATCACACAAATTAGTGTGAGGCTTGGTTTTAAAATAGATAACAGAGAATCTTGATTAAATAATATCCAACTTTGTAGCATAACACAGCTAATTCAGGCAATGACATAGAGATGATAAGAAACAACATGGTTTGGTAGAGGGAACATTTGATTTCAACTCTGCCCATCTTTAGCTGTATGACTTACGTAAGTCATTTTGTGTCCAAGCCCCATTTTCTCCCGTATGAAAAGTGAAGGGGTTGGATTAAATGATTAAAATCCCCTTCCAGCCCTGTGAGCCCAACAAAGTATTATGATCTCTGCTTTGTTTCCTTCTTAAGAGGCTTCCTACTATAAAACGTGACCTATTTACATTTTAAGTTGAAGGAGCCCACAATGATGAATTATCAATTTAGATTTTTCTCATCCCCTTTGGGAGAAATTAAATTCAAGCCTCTATTCATTTTATGTTTTACAACAAGCTTGGAAGGTGGCCATGTTCATTCACAGTTGGATGTTTTGAGACACCAATACACGTTTTTTAATAAAAGTTCTCTCTACCTAAACTCACCTTCCTAATAGAAGTAGTGATTTGGCTCAGGAAAAAATGTTTCCAGAGTCACCATGAGAGGACTGGATGAACCTACAGCCTCACTCAATCTCTTGCATCATTCCTGCTGTAGCAACAGAGCCCACTCTGAATACCCAAAAAACACAATTTTCTCCAACAATTCTAATTGCCAACCCAGTGTGGGAATTTGAGAGCCTTTGGCAAATAACCTTGAACACTCTTATGAAATTTGGTGCAACACTTACACAATCACGGCAACTGTTTGTAAATATCTTCTCTTCTCTGCCAGCATGTAGACATGCACATCCATTCACAAGTAAGCCGGCAAATTCATTTTCACATTTTCCTCTTGGTTTGTTTTTATCATGGGCATCACATTGCAGGAAGAGATGCTCTAACTTACAAGAATGGAATTTTCTGACTACCTTTGCCCTCTTCAAGGCCTGATGAGTTTCTAGGGTGGATGGGATACAATGCATGGTCTACAAGGTGCATGTCACCAGCCATGATCTTTAAACACCCTCTTGTACTTTCCAGCACTGCTGCAGTGGCCCATGGCTGGCACCTCTGCTCTTTGTCCAAACTTCTGCTAAATAGAATAGTGTTGGTATTTACTGTGTTGTGAACTCCTTTATTGCCAGAGAAGACTTCAGCTCTTTAGGTTTGCAGGGGCAAAATGTAAAGCTAGGACTGAAAGGATAGGGTTTTGTTTGTTGGCCGGCTTTATTCCAGTAGTGCAAAAAACCTGATGCAAGGGCAGCAAGATATACACAATTTCTTCACTGACCGATATAAGAACCTGTAGAAAAGTGAGAGATGCCCCTAAGTTCCTATTTCATTTATCCTAAATAATATCCTGAGTAACTACTGATCAGTTTTTCCCTATGTCCAGCCTTGCTTCACTTCCCAACCTCCAGGCCAAATATTCATTCTGATATTTTACAAAGTCCTTCTGGTTTTTACACAAGGCCCTTTTGTGCTGAGAATAAAACCTGCTATTGAAACAGATCTCACTGCTTTGTAGAGTCAGCAGTTGACCTAAAGAATGGGTAGCAACAGGTCCTCAGTTTCTCTGGAGACACCCCCAATCCTTGGGTGAGTGTTGGAACCTGACAACTGACTGTTAACCTTGTCATCATCTCCCCTGGAGATGGAGATGTTGTATTCGGAAACTCACTCCTTCTGGGGCACTGTTTCTTCTCACGGCAACCATTTTCCTTGCCTGGAAATAGCCTGTTGCCTTTGGTGGGGGGCAAATACACACACTAGCCAAGAAAGTTGGTCCAACACATCTCTGAGGTTTCTCCCGCATGGACCCATGGAGCGAATTCCCTGAGATATATCATCAGAAAGTTGGCTGTCTGGTGGTTTGATACTCCATAAGTTACTTCCGTTATAGAAACTCATCCTTTGGCATCTAGATTTTTCTACAAATCACCTTAACTCCCTCCCTTTCTCCTTCTCCTGGAAAAACCTCAACATTGCATCTCCATGTTGCACAACACAGATCAGATTATCTGGTCACTATAGAGATTTGTATATAAAAAAACTACTTTTTTGAGGATTTTGTATATTGTTTTTCTATTTGTTTTCTACAGCTTGAGGAAAGAGCTGGCAAACTGTGAATCTAACTTGATCTTGTTGCCAGCAGATATATTTTGGCTTCCTGGTAAGAGTCTGTTACCAGGGACAATATATTGCCCTCTGATCAGTATTGCACCCTAAATCCACAAATTCCTCCAGCCCAGTCTTACATTTTTTTAAACAAATCCCCTAGCTTGTTTGCTATTATTTATAAAGAGCATTAGAAAATGTATTTATAGACCTGGATATTATATGTTTAATATTAATTTAGCCTTTAATAATGTTATAGGTTTGTAACTATTCTTCAGAAATTATAAAGAACTCAGTGTAGACTGAATTAATCTATTTAGTATCTGTAATTTTGCAGACATATTTTCTTACAGTATTTTCTATGTAACCACACATGTAGAATTATAACTAATTAGAGCACAAGAAGTTTCTTCAGCAATTTAGAGCGATCAATTGTTTCTTGACTATATAGTCACATTTGACAAATTTAAGAACCCAGTCCTTAGTGATGCAATAAACAAAATGAACCATTAAGAACAAGGAATTGCTCAAATCCCTTAGCTGGTGAGGATATGCATCTAAATAATTCATCTTTTTAACTCAAGGAATGGTGCTGGTTTTTAAAATTTTTGACACCAGGCCTTGTTTTTCCAGCTGAGCATTCTAATTTTGCTTTTCTCTAAGACTATCAAAGGCAAGGTATTAATAGTAGGATTATTTCTAGATCAGAATATTTCATACCTTCCTGAAGGTTTATGTGAAAATTGGCTTAGGAAAACTTGGAGTAGCAGAGACTGAGGATGAGTGCTAGAGATGAAATCAGGACAGATTTGTTGCAGTTAATTCTTGCCAAGCAAATTGGTGGTAAATGTCACATTGTTATGTGAATTGAGTACATATTTTTAAAGAAAGTTTGACAAAAATTTTAGAACCAGCTATGAGGCTATACTGTATCACTGGGGGCTGGAAGTAGGGGCTTAGAATCATACTGAAGAAGAAGCCCAGGTAGTTTCTGTCCTCAGGTGAATAATGGACTATGTAACTTTCCTGAAAGGTAAAAAAATAGCCACTGCAAAGACGAGGTGTCTTACTTCTACCAAATACACTTTCTGAGATGGTGGTAGGGCTAGTATTTTTACCATGGTTTAAAAAGTAGTCAGTTACATAGAAAGTGTATTGGTATGTATTTGAACCTGCTCTTCATTAAACAAACAGATTAGATGTACCCTCAACTGGCAATAATTGTATCTATTTTCAAGTACAGCTAGCTGTCAAAGCATGAAGCTCTTGTGTATACACACTGACACTTGGTTCACGCATGAAGAACAGTGCCTATGCACTTTGTGTAGCTATAATGTAGGGATCTAGGTGTAATTTCAGTGAAATGGTGTATAGATGTATTGTAATTTAATGTATATGTTATTTTTGGCTATTCATCTAAATGCAGTAGACATGTTGACTGGTGTTTTGCAAATCCTTCTTTTCCTTCTTAGATAACTAGTCGTGAATCATTTCTCCTCTTTCTCAATGTGGTTTGGGAATATATATGAGTGAAGAATTTATCTGTGAATCCTTTGTACTGATAATTGTTTGAAAGTCTGTGTGTGTCCAGCACCTTTGTAAATACACAATTCAGAGCAGGGATGGGCTGGGTGTGTGTCCTGGTTCTTAGTGAAAGGTCATCTCATGTCTGTATAATACATGGTGAATGCAACTGTGGAACTTTTGGTTACCTAGACTTAGGTAGGTTTAGAATGAGAACGTCCATCTACAGTCCTTTGCTTGGTGGATTGGGCTCAGAGAGACAAAAAGTTAGTCTGCCCCTGTGCATATTAGCATCATGTCTTTAGAGAAAGGTCAGTCTCTCTGGTTGCCAAATACTCCTCATGATGCTCATGACTTAAAGGTTCTAAAGAGCCTTGTCTCCCTTGAATTTTTGAGTCAGGGTACAGGAAAAACATTGCTGACTAACTAACTGCAAATGAACATGCAGGTGAAACCCCACAAAAGCACAGTTCTGGCTATAAACTTCACAGTTCTCTGTAAAAAAAAAAAAAAACGTAGAGCACTAGAAGTACAGGAATAGTCAGTGTGTAGCTTAGGGAGTTGTAGAGGAGCAACTGATGAAGCACAGGTCCCACATATATGAGGGAGTATGACCTCCTCTACCTAATACGTTCTGTGTGCATGTTTTGAATGATTGAAGATGGTATTAACTGTTGCAAATATACACTTGCCTCCTAAAACATACATTCTGTATAATTGTCACTAAATACAATGCTGTGAGGTCTATAATTTCTGTAACTCCTTTCTCCTCCCCAAGGACAGAGAAGAACTAGTCATTGCTATAGGGAACCCTGAGTGCCCTACTCTTTTCCCAAGAAGGGTAAAGCCTACAATATCATCAGGGGGCATGAAGCACATTAATTTGCAGTGGCTTCTTCATATGAGGAGATATGGTGGACAGGCTAATTTTTCCTTGAAAATGTGACTTTTTCAACTCCTTTCAAATTTAGGATGGAATACTTCCTGAAATAAAACTGGGCTTTATGCAGGATTCTCTTTGAAAATTCTTGTATGTCCAGAATGAAAGATAAAAATAATTGTATTCCTCACATTCACAATCCCCATTGGTCTGAAGTCATGTAGCACAGAGCATCTATAGCACATAGTGTTTAAAGACTAATGAATGCAAAAAGATAAATTCTTCAGCTAATTTTTGAATTGTTTCTCATATATGGTACTAGAAAAATGCCTTGTTGATGAAGCACATTTTGGGTAGTTGAGGTCTTTTGTTTTCGCCTTTAGCTTTCTAAGCTTTCTTACAATGTGGACTGATTACTGTAACATTTCATGTGTAAAATAACTGGATATTCTTTATATACTGGTAATAACCTGTGAATCCAATATTTCACTAAGTGTTTTAACTTGCGTGTATATATCTCTCATCAATAAATGTGGATTTCAATTTATTTTGGTTGTTGCCTCTTCTTTAATTCCCATTTTAGACTAATTGTTGGTTACATAGTAGTGTTCCTTTTGCAGAAACTTATGAATTGATGGCTACAATGTTAAAATGAATATTTTCTAGGAAGCCTAAATATATATTGGAGTTACATCTTGCAATCTAAAGTTAGTAAGTTGAACAAAATGGTATATAGTCAATGAATCAGTCAATATGGGGTCAAATATCAGGGCCTTAAAACAACCAAAGTGTATTTCTTATTCATGTGACATGTCTGTTACCAGTTGGCTGGGAGACTCTGCTCTGTGCTGTCCTCACTCAGGATGTATGTGGGAGGCTCCATCTCCATGCTTTTGCAGCTGCCAGTGCAGGAAGAGGAACATAACAAATCTTACGTGGGCTCTTACAGCTTCCCCTGAATGTATGTACCTCACTTCTGCTCATATTTCAAGGGCCAAAGCAATTCACACAGCTCCATCTAACTTCAAGAAAGGAAGGAAGTGTAACCTCACCAGATTCACAGGAAGAAAACTGGAACTAGTTGGTGAATAGCTCTAATGACTATCAGGCCATGGAAATCCCTTAAATCATTCATAAAGGATAGTATACAAACATATCATTTCTCAACAAGTTCAACATAGCAAGTTTTTCCTCCAGCATTGGAAAAATAATGACCATGGAAGTAAGGGGCAAGCCTTAAGTGGTGATGCTATAGAAATAAAATGCATGCTTTTCAACAGTAGGGTCACACTCAGCATGGTGAGATTCTGATGCACTGAAAGGTATATGTCCAGGAACAGAGACCCACAGAAAGAGTGGCAGACTCTTGTGTCACACTCTAGGACACCCACTGGTAGACAGCTTGGATTAGTTGAATTGTTTTCTCTTATTCTATTTTGGTGGAAAAGAAGACAAATATTTGATTTTAAGTAAGTAAAGTACATAGATGTGATACACCACAATTTTTTTCACTACTGTTGGTAATTTCTTAAAATATTGGAAATGGACACTTCATTTGAAAAGACATGTTTTATTCTTCCCTTGGAGCCAGGTCTACATCCCATCCACATTCAAAATGTTTTTAAGATCTTAATTACAGAAAATATGCTCATTAGTAAATATCTGAGCTGCCATTTTATTTTAAGATAGCAAATAGCCACAAATCAGAGTTAAGGTAAACTTCTTAATGCTTTAGTATGTATATACTCTTAGGTCCAAATCAGCCACTCCTGCCAAAGGCAACACAGCCAGAGAGAGACTTGACTTTGCTTGCTCAGGGAATGTGATTTCCCTGCTCTTCTGGATCAGAGGTGTTTAATCCATCCTTTTGTGAGGGACCGCTAAGTGTTGCTTTTAATTACCACCGCATGAAAAGGAAAAATAAAAAAGAATTTACAGGGGTAAGTAGGGAATGTGTAATTGTGGACTGAGAGTTATGACCCAGGAATTCTGGTCTCCACTCAGTCACTGAAGGATCATACGAATGTGGCCAAGTGTCTTTGCAGTTTGGAAGTCATCTTGGCATACATAAAATTAGGGGTTTCATGTAGATTACTTCTAAGCTTTTGGATTGTGAAATTTGAATGATCTTACCTAGGTAAGTCATCATGGCTACAGATTTACTTTTATTTTCTAATCTTACTGTCTTAATATAACATCTCATACCTACAAAAGAATCTCTGTAACCTGTGTCTGGGTCTTATGCCACATGAGATACTAGCCCAAAAGCCCACTACCCAGTGCAAGAGCTATAGAGCCTTCCTTCACCCCATGCTCCTCCCTTACCTTGTTCTTGTGCTTTACTCCCCGGAGGAAGCTGCTACTTGCAGTTTTGTGTTTATCATTTCCCTGTTGATTTTTTTAAAAAAAATAGTTCAACCCCCCACATAGGTGTACCCAAACCAGCTTTGCTTATTTTTGAGCTTTTTTAAGAAAAGAGTGCAATACCACATGTAGTCTTTTTGAACTGCTCTTTTTCTATTTAACATTGTTTCTCAGTCCATCCATGTTGTTTCAAGTAACTGTGGTTTGTTCATTACACGGTTGTGTAGTAATATGATAGCATGTGGAATATGTCATGTTTTGTTTATTCATTTTTTTTGGACAGTGGGTGTGTGCTCTTTTCCAGGTGTTTTTCTAGGTCGAGCAGGGCTGCTATGAACATTGTCATCTGTGTCTCCTGTGTGTATGACCCAGGAGGCTTTAGCGCATGTGGTCTAATTTTTAAAAGTATGTGTATGTGACTGAAAGTTCCTGTTCAAATCTTCTGCTTACATTTGTGCTTAGCCCCATCAGTGAGTCCACTTGTGAACCATTTTGACCTCCTAATAATTCGTGTACTGCTATAGTATTCCCCAAGTGAACCACACACTGCTAGTAATCCCCTGTTGATCCATGCACTGCTAGTAATCCGCTAGTAATCCATGCACTGCTAGTAATCCACTAGTAATCCATGCACTGCTAGTAATCCGCTAGTAATCCATGCACTGCTAGTAATCCGCTAGTAATCCATGCACTGCTAGTAATCCGCTAGTAATCCATGCACTGCTAGTAATCCGCTAGTAATCCATGCACTGCTAGTAATCCGCTAGTAATCCATGCACTGCTAGTAATCCCCTGGTAATCCATGCACTGCTAGTAATCCCCTGTTGATCCATGCACTGCTAATAATCCCCTAATAATCCATGCACTGCTAGTAATCCCTTGGTGATCCATGCACTGCTAGTAGTACCCTGGTGATCCATGCACCGCTAGTAGTCCCCTAGTGATCCATGCATTGCTAGTAATCTCCTAGTGATCCATACCTTACTGGCTGTATTATGGGTCCATCTTCCCAACATGGATACTGAGACAAGCAAAACCAGACCATTTTTAGGAGGGGAGTGTAAGTTGCAAGGCTGAAGCCTTCTTTCCTCAGGCTCAAATGGTGAGGCCTTTGAGCACAAATCTAATGGGAGCAAAACAGGGCCCACTTCATCTTTGATCTCTTCTTTGACCGATAATGTGTGAGGCCCAGCAGCCTCTACCTGACATCAGCGGGCTATTTGCTTTGATGTGAATTGTCAGTTAACAGAGGAAGTTACAGGAAGTCACAAAAAAGTCTCTCCACCTATTGCAACAACCACCAGGAGCCCCTTCAGCCACATCCCCAACTTAGTTCTGGCTGTGAGAACCCTATAGGCTGAGTACTTTATCAGGTACAGAAATTGATGCCTTGCAGTTGAGGAGGCTTGCAGTGTGAGCTCAGTGTGGCAGCATGGTGTTTTCTGGGGAGGGCCCTCTTCTGAGTTTCTCCTTATATTCTCACATGGCAGAAAGAGGGCAGGGGAGCTATTTGAGGTCATTTTTATAAGGGCTCTAATCCCATTCATGAGGAATCTATCCTCATGACATAATCACTTCTGAAAGGCCCCACCTCTTAATACTATCACCTTGAGGGTCTGGATTTCAACTTAAAAATTTGGGGGTAAAAACAAACATTCAGTCCAATGCAACCCCCTGCCCTGTGATGGAGGACTATAGAACCACAAAGGGCAATACCTGTAAAGAGGGTGAACTATGAGGCCTGCCAGCTAAGGCACTGGCCCCAGTGTGGGCATCTCCTTCCAGGCACAATGACGTAAACAGGATGCCAGTGTTCTGTATAGCAAAGAACCACAGGTGACAGAGGGTTCCGGCACCTCCAGGAAAGCTTTCATCAGAAGCTTTCCCCACTTGTCACCTTTCAGCCCAGACAGGAAGGTGTGGGTGGAGATGCCCACACGTTTGACATGGGTTGAGCAAGGAGAGAAGACTGTGGAGTCCCTGGCAACAACACAAATGTTTTTAGCTCAATAACTCTTCGCCCTGGTAGTTTTCAAAGTTCAATTAATTCATTCTTCCACCGAGGCAGTGAGAGACCATATTTAATTCCCATGTTGTCCTAAGAAAAACTGAGCCACAGAGTCAGGCTCAAATTCCAGAGGGTAGTCTGGGTCCACACAGCTTATCCAAAAAGAATATAAAAAGAATAAAGCCATCTAATGCAAATCCTGTTTTCACTCTCAAACATTTAAAAGCAGCGACATTAAACTCTGAAGAATTCCATGAAGCAGATAAATAAAACATTATTTCACGGTTCTCCCTTTCCTTTTTACCAACTGAATGAATATGTAAAATCTCAACATCTTTTTATGTCTGTTATTTGGGGTAATCAGATTTTAGCCTTCCAAATATCATCTGGAAAAATCTAGTGGCTTCCAGTTAAGGAAAAAAAGACAAATTTAGAATTGCAGTCATCTGTTCCTTACTCCTTTTGTTGAGTGACCTGACTCCCCTGGAATTCTCCAACAGCTTCTGTCACTTCTCAGATATTTTCCAGGCCTGAATAACACACTGCTCACAAAGGGAGGAGCTGCAGAATTTCCCAACTGCCTTCCTCTGAATGAACAGTTCCATCAGAACACCATCTTCCTTCTCCACCTGATCCCAAACTTTCTTTTCATCACGGTGATGAGAGCAGAGATCATTCCAGATTGTAAAGCCAGATTGTTAGCCTGTGCTTTTTTTTTTGCAGATGAG